CGTTTTGTAATTACTGTGCCAAAACTCAAATCCGAACGCTCCCCCGTTTAAACCTATAATTATTGAATCATCCATCTCTCTCCCTCTCTCTCTCACGCTCAAATTTTACTTCTGTTTCTGGCGTCATTTCGATCTTTTCACCCACCACGATATTTTGGAAGCAAACTTTTGGAAAATAAGCCGATTAACCGAACCGTTTTTGGGAGCATTTCTGTCCTAACCGTGTTTTTGAAGGGGAATTTGCAGCGAAAAATCCATGTGAGCCAAATCCAGACGGATATATCTAGGCCCTAGTTTCCGGAATGGACCCTCTTGGATCCGGTCCGAATCGAGGGCCCAGCAGCAGCAGAAAAAAAGTGACGCCAATTTTGAGGGGGGTTCGGGGGTGTGGATGGACGGAAATTGTCCATTTCCATTCCGGAATAGAGGGGAAGAGGAGGGCAGGAGGGAAAGGGCGCTAAATCGACATCATCAGCCCTCCCGGGTTGAGTCAATTGTTTGCATACCCTTGATTTTATGGGATTAGAGATCATTTAATGCCGCTTACTTTAAGAACTTTTGAAAAGCTTATGTTTTTTAAGCTATTTAAAGGGCCGACAGCCCATGGCTATAGATTTTCTCGGCGAAAGATTTCCTCTGCGCTAGCCAAAGCCCCGATGCGCAGCGTGTACGCTCGGCTTCACCACGACTTTCATCGCGTAATTCACTTTAACCGCTTCGCGGGGACTGTTTTTTACTGTTTTCTTGGAAATTTGGAGCAAGAAACAAGTCGATTTGCTGGGCGTCATTCTTTGTGTTGCGTATTCGTCTAGACCCAGGTGAGGGAAGGGTCGATTCGGGCAATTTATAGCCTTGAAAAAATCCATAAATTCCAAACCTGCTGAAGGTCTTTAACATGCTCTAAATCCCCAATTCTTCAAATTTTTCTGGTTATGGCCCTCTAAAAACACATACAATCGGATTTTTTGTAAAATGTACGGATTGCTTAGATTTTCAATGTTTTATGAAAAAAGTTCTATGCGTGTAATCTATTTTCAACAGAATTACTGGGTAATTTTATGCAGAATTCCTCCTGCCTGTTGCTGACTAATTGTCAGCAGGCTCCCCTTTCTTAGGCTCGAAAATCCCTGAATGAAACCTGTGGCTTAATCTTCTTCCTATGAAATACCACTAGACCCGTCCTATACCCTTCTACCTTCTTCCTCATCCCCCCCGTCAGCTTTTGATCGTTTATTCTCTCCAGATTACGCAAGGGTCGGATTAGCGCTTGCGTGTTTTGCCACGTTCTAGTCGCGTTTTTACGCCCGAGTTGCTCATTATTTTTTTGTAAGGTTGTTGTAAGGACGGGTTTTGGCATGCTGGGGATCATTTGTCTTTTGCAGGCATCTTCAGCAAATTTTATAGAAATTTAGGCCTGTAAGTTCGCCAAATTTTCGAAAAAAAGTAAAAGAATTAATTACACAGCCGTTTTTCGCGAATTTAATGGCGTAACCGGTTACTCGCGTCAAATTTGTATCAATTGGGGGTTTTATTACCTTGATTCCAACCCAAGCATTTTCTGTTTACTAGACTCATCTCCTCCCCTACAAAACAAGGAAAACCCATGAAAATTAGATCAATCATGCGAGGTAATTCCACCAGTTCTAGCCTTGTAAGGTCCTTTAAAATCACAAATCATGCTATTTTTGCCAATTTTTTTTTGTTTACTAGATCCTTCTCCTCCCCTAAAAAAACAACGAAAATCCATGAAAACCAAATGTTCCAATTGACGCTTCCAGGCGGGGCGTCGAAAACCAGGAGCGTTGAAAAATTTGAGGCGTTGTTTGCCCAGGCTGCCCCGACACGCGAAATAAATTCAGCTAAAAGAGGGGAGGAGAGAAAGGGGAGGAGGGCTACCTTTTTGAGCTTCAGCTTCAGCTTCTCGGCTGGCTTTTGGCGGCTCGTTGTTTTGATTGGCGGTTTCTCGGATTTCACGCGCGCGGGCGCGATGGAGGTCCATTTTTGGTTGGCTATTTTTATGGGGTATTGGTGGGGCGCATAATTTTCTATTTTACACGTTTCTTACCTACCATTAGTGCGTCTAGGTGTAGAAAATTGCGATTGAAGTTTGACCAGTAATCTTTGCCTGAAAACAAAATTGCTGTGATTTTAATGTATTTTAAACGCAAAAAAATTTGAATTGTTGTTTTGAATTTAATTTTACTTTGTATTGTAATTCTATAATTTTTAATTATGAAAAAATTGTTATCAAAGATCAGTTTTACTCTTTTTAAATTTAATTTTCTGCACTTTACGAAAAAACACTGTATTTCTAATCAGCATTTGAAAAATTTTGAGGCATCGTTTGCCTAAAATTCGATAATGTTCTAGCTGTCACCATTCCTTTAAACTACGATATTTACTAAATTCCGCTGCACTCCTCTGCTCACGCTTATTTTTACCTCCCATAATTGCATATTTTGATCAGTCCCATTTCACCCCTCCCAAGATGACCAGTCATCAGATTCTGAAAAATTAAAGGTTACCAAGCCCTTAATTTCCGATTTTCTACTTTTCCCCTCCTCGAGCTACTGTAATTTTCCCTTCGAGTTTCCGTACCATGAACTCGCTGAAAAAGTGTGGTTCTGGCTCTCTCTCTCTCTCTCTCGCTCTCTCTCTCTTTCTCTCTCTTCGATCTTTCCCGAAGCGTTCCTTTTCTAGAATTGGAGTTCAGGGGCCAGCTTCGGAATTATAGACTACGCTCCGATACCTAATTACGGGCACAATACAATTGGGAAGAGTGGCGGTTTTTCGGTCGACGCTGGTCCGAAAATACAGTTAGGTCCCGTGGGAAAACTCTATTAAGCCGGGCGGTATGCTTTGTCTGGGGTTCAGAAGAGCTCAAATCCGCCTTAATTCGTTAGAAATAACTCGGGGAGGCTGTATTTTACAGATTTTTAAAAAATTGTAGCTTTCAAATGGCACGTTTTGGATTACCGTATAATCTCAAAAAAAGGAAATTCTTAATTCTAGATAATTTTAAGATTTGTTACATAGATCTTTTACTAACGATACCTTCTAAAAATATTGAACTTTACTTTCTAAATTTTTGATACCATAGTTTTAACTTATTTCAAAAAAAAATGTTAGTGCGAAATAGCACGTTTGTAGTTTTGCTTTATTTTTAAATTTTTTCATGCAAGTTTGGTAATTTTTAAAAGATTTTTGGGAGTTGATGTATTTCTCTATTTTTCCACCCTACGCCTGGTCTTTGTCCCCTTTCACCACGGCTCCATTGCCACGCCTCGAAAATACTAGGTTGTGGGCCCCGCGTGGAATTTATGAGTCTCAAGGGGGGCGGGGTGCACCCACAAGTCGTTTGCATCCGTATTTTTCCACGGGACGAACGCGTCAAAGGTGCACACGACGTCATTTATGGCAAAATCGTTGGTTTGCAGCTGCAATTGGTTTCTAGATTTTTTTATGATGTCAGAACATGAGGACGAGCTCTAAATCCATAGATAGATTGATCATTAAAATATGAAGTTAAGCCCACAGATTTTTCGGCCCTCACGTCCATACAATGAGTATTTTGTTCCATTAGCAACCGTATAGCAGCCGCTTTGCGTAGCGTTGCGTATCACGCCGCGAGGCGAATTGTGTAACCTACTGTGTAACGTATGACGCAGTGTATTGCGTAGCCTAGCGTATTGCGGTGCGTCGCCTAGTGCGAGGCGGAGCGTGATGCAATGCATAACGTATCACGAGGCGTAGTGTATGGCGATGCGTAGCGTCTACCTTACTTAATTTTTTGCCTGCGTCGCGTACGCTATTGTGTCACCCTGTGGGAGGCATCGCGTGTTACTTCGCGCATTCTTGTGTCGCACGCGTTGCGATGCGTCGCGTCGCGTGTTTCGCGCCTGTCGCACGAGTGTCACGTATTGGAACGTACCAGATTCCATAACTAATACATAGTGGACCACATCCTTTCTTTTTCCCTGTCAGTACCTTTAAACCCCCATTTTTCCACTGCTTCACCACCACGTTAAAGTACCCCGATCTCTGGCCCTTTTTCAGAACCACCCCCACGCCAAACCACGGCGAATTCCGGCCGGCCATTTTTCTCGGTTGGCCTCAAAAAAGGAGCAATGTTTGCCAGTGACCCCATAGGGCCCCTTGGCCCTCTGATTGGGCCAATTTCAGGGGAGAAGGCCCAGATGATGATGCTGGTTGCCTCTTCATCTTTCGAGTGGGTTGGGATGGATTTTTAGATGCAAATCTTTGGCCTTAAGACTCCTCGAAAGCGACAGCATCTAAACCCATACGTGGACTAGGTCGGACAACTACACTACGTTCCAAAAAGACGGGTGAAGTTGTGCTTTGTTGCCCTTGAATCCTTTGAAGATCCAGAAAAATTCAAAGCCCCGGTCGGTTTTTGGAGAGTTGCGCAGCTGTCGAGACCTAGTTGCCACAAGGGTCGATTCGTAGACTTCTTACAACTTACAACGTAGACTTGTTAGGCCCTTTAAAAGTCTTTTACTTACTATTAGTACATGGACTGGCTCCGGATTAAAATTATGGATTCATTTTGGGATACTCGTTTTTAATATCTTTCTTTCTCTCTATCACTCTCTCTCATCTATCTCTCTCCGATTCGTGCAAAGATCCACACCTACTCTAGTTTTGGAATTGGGACGTCTCGTGGGGCGTGAAAAAACAAACCTCACCGCTTCTTTTTCGGACACGTGCAAATAGGCGCAACTCGTAATTTTGAGGCCGTAAATTGGGTGGTGTTCCCTTGGGTCAGGGCCAATTTTGTTTTTTGGAGTTTTCCGGCGGATTCTGGAATGTGCCAATGACGAGTTGGGTTGTATCAATGGTCAAAAACTATTACTTTTACCTTAAAAAATTACTGTTTTTAAAAAAATCCCGAAAAAATACTTAAAACCTCATTTTACATGTACAAATTAATGTCAATGCTGTTTCCTTAAATTGCTCATTTTTATTAATCCTTTTCCAGGATGTCCAACGACTCAACGGGGGACTGCCTCGACCTGAACACAGAACTATGGGCATATCGAGGGGATCTGACGACACTTCCGATTACGCAGGCAATATTCGCTGCCCTCTACACGGTCATCATCATTTGTGGGATTGTTGGGAACAGCTGTGTGATACTCGCCATATCGAGGAATAAGTGAGTGCTTTAATTTAGACACTTGAAACTTGACCGGCAAGGTTTAGGCTTTTTTTAGAAAATCGCAAATTCGTATCCATTTAAAATGTTTAATAACAGTGTTTTTAGCAAAATAGTCTTACTATAGCTAAACCACAAATTAAAAGCCAACAAAATCCAAAGTCTAGCTTTGCCAGTTCCTTTAAATGGGTTGAACAGCACGAAAATCGACCCCTGATCTCGACTAGGTCTCGACAACTCCAAACTTTGGCTAAAAACTCGTCACTTTTGTTTGTAAATTCCTTTATAACCCAGTAAACCGGTATTTAACATGGCGCCAATCGGTCTAGACCTAATCGTCGGTCGGGTTGATTCTCGCTCTTCCGAGTCCTTTTATTGTTTTCTAAACACTGGAATTGGCTCATGTTGAAGCCACAAAATATTTACAACGTTTTTCAGATCCCTCCAAACAGTGCCAAATCTGTTCATCTTGTCGTTATCATGTTCTGACGTGTTAGTGTGCTGTGTATCAGCCACGATAACCCCGATCACCGCCTTCAACAAGGAGTGGCTGTTCGGGGCGCATTTGTGTCGGGTGGCGCCGTGGATGGCGGTACGTTTTTAAGGCTTTTAAACGTGGAAAATGTGTAACTTGCTATTTAAGAACCTGAGAATACCTTTAATCTTAACCTTAAGATTAAATTTGCTCAAATCACTCAAAAATTCTTAGGCCGAGTTTTTGGCATTAAAAGTATGATTTTAGCGGCTTACAAATGAATCACCGCGCTTAAACGGATTCCTAGCCAATTTTAAGCTACCAATTAGAATAGATAAAACTTTTTACGCCAAATAATCTTAAAGAAATCGATATTTAAGTGATTTTTAGGGTATCACTCTCGTCTTTTCCACCTTCACCCTGACAGCAATCTCCGTGGATCGCTATATGCTTATCAGGCATCCCATGAAGAAGCCGATGACAAAAAATCAAGCGTTAATGGTGATTGGGGTACGCTTTTAACGTTCTAATACCTTGGCCAGCTTAAATATACCTCAATATGCAATTTTAATGCTGAAGTTTAGGGCATCGCCTCGTTTGCCGCCTTCATCTCCCTGCCGACAATGCTCAAGCAGCGATTAGGGCCATTTGAAGGTTTTTGCGGGCAGTACTGCACTGAGATCTGGACGGTGATGGACGATGAGGGAGCAGGAGAAAGAGAACGGAAGTGAGTAGAATTTTTGTGAATTTAAGGCTGCTGTGAAGCGGGCGAATCTACCCCTTCTAGTGACTAGGTGTCGAAAACTACGTTTTGCTCCAAAAGACGCATTGGTCGCACCAGAAAAAGCGCTGATTTTAGCAAAATTATCGCTTTTCTGGGCATTTTGTACTCTAGATTAGCTCGTCAATAGGAGTGTATTGTAGCTGTCTAGACCTAGTCGATGAAAGGTGCCGATTTGACACTTTATCGCAACTTTAATGGGTAAAAAATTAATGAGGTTTTGCCCCAAATGGCGCATTAAAATACCTTAGTTTCGGATCAGTTATCATTTTTCGGCGATCATTAAAATCAAATGCCACGCGTCAGTAGGCGCAGCTTGTAGGTGTGTACTGAAGGGGGCGATTTTCACACTTTAATAGGTTCTTTGGTCGAATTAAAGTTTTATGACGTTTTTTGAAGCCGATTTAAACATGTTAAAAACCCACAAAACTAATAACAAAAGCTGTTTTGTTCAGAGTCTACAGCGCCGTCCTCTTGATTGTCCAGTTTGTGATACCTCTAACCGTCATTATCCTTTCCTACACCGCAATTTCATTGCGAATCGGGCAGGTCAGCGATTTCACCACATTTTCGGATTTTTGTCAAAAATCGTGTGAATTTGTCGAAAATAACCTCGATTTTAGAGCATGATTCTGAAGAGCACTCAGAAGAATGGCTCTGACTGTAACTGGGAGGCAAATTTAACCGATCAGCAGCGGATGGCGTTGAAGAGAAGGCAACGCACAAACCGGATGTTGATCGCTATGGTGGTCGCGTTTTCAGCGAGGTCCGTCAGTTTATGATTGGTTTATTTCTTTATGCATTAAGTTCCGGTTTCGCGGTACGAATTATACAATTTCCAGCTGGTTTTGGTCAATGGCGTACAACGTACTCCGTGATTACGACTATTTGCCAGCACCGATGAGGCAGCAAGAGTATCTCTTCGGAATTGGAACTCATTGTATTGCGATGACGTCGACGGTAAGTGGAGAAAGCGAGAGAAAGAGAGAGCGAGAGAGACAGAGAGCGAGTGAGAGAGAAACAGAGTACGAGAGACCAAAAAGCTCCAGATATCAAGGGCGAGAGACGGAGCAAGACCGGGCCGTGGTGAGAGAGAGAGAGACAGACAGAGAGAGGGAGAGAGAGAGACAGAGAGAGAAAGAGAGAGAGAGAGAGAGAGAGAGAGAGAGAGAGGGAGAGAGGGAGAGAGAACGAGAGCAAGAGAGACCGTGCCGAAAAAGAGCCAAAAGAGAGAGAGAGAGTGTGTCTAATTCCTAGAATTTTCAGATCTGGAACCCAGTCCTCTACGCCATGCTCAACCTGCAGCTCCGACAAGCCTTCATCCGTCTCCTCCCCGAGCGTCTCCGCGGTCGCTTCTCAACTGAGGGGGATATGGAGAAGACGTGCCCCCTCATCACCAACAATAACGGCAACCATGCGAGCCATCTGGACCATAGAAGCGGCTCGACCAGGCTGAAGTACGGGGCCACCCAGGTGCGTGGACCCACCAATGACACTCACTCGATCCCTCCACCCCAAAAATTCAGTCAAAAAAAGAGTAATTTCGAGTTATCTCAATTTCTCTCTGCCTCCTTACATTTCGATCTCTATTTTTCACTATTTCTCAATTTCAAGTTCTATTTTAAATGTCGCTCTCTTCTTTTCCACCTAAGAAAAAAAAGAATTTTTTGTGTTCTGTCCTTGTCGGAAAGGCTGGAATTTGGAGTATGGCGGAATCGAATTTTTGGTTTTTGCGGAATTGGCTGAAAATTCACCCCTAATTTGCATAAAAGCACACAAATATTTTCCTGAATTTTGTTGAATTTTCGAAAATCAGAATTTTTTTTTCGCCGCTCCAAGTTTGATTGCAATTCGTCTTAAAATATTGAAATTGACACAAAATTAAGAAGTCTGAAGCAGTTTTGAAAGTCCCTTTTTGAGCTAGAATTTTCTAATTCTTGACAAAATTAAATTTAAGCTCACGAAGCGCTTCAAACTACATTTTAAAACGTTTAAGATAAATTTTATGAAATACCCAATTTGTTGTGCTTCAATTTTGCGACTTTTTGACCCTCGAAACCCATGTAAGTCGCATAAAAATTCAATTGCAGCTAAAAATCCGTAAAGTTCCAAAAGACGCCAATCCGTCAATAGTCCAGCTCCGTACTTTACTTTATTGTCCCGTCTTCAACGAAAAATTCTGACATCCAGTTTAGCAGTCGAATTGTGACTCTACCAGCTCGAAGGTTTGTGTGTTCTTGCGAGATACCCCGAGTACTGTAGTGCGACGGGGGGCGTAAAACTGTCCCCCGCACCAGGGTGTAGCCGGGCGGAGTGGTGTGGAACGGGAACGGAATGGTACTGTAGAGTAGAGATGTTTTTATTCAGATACGATATGCATCCAGATATATCGCATCTGAATAAGCCATCGGAATAGGAAAATCCTAGATGCGATATAGATAATCGTATCTGAATTGGAATCCGACCCACCGAGATACGATACTATCGGAATAACTGTTGCATATCGGATTAAGGGAAATTAGGGCGCTCGGTAGGCGATAAAATGGATGCAAATCGAATGATCTTTTCTCGGAAACGCCTAACCTTATGCTTTTCTATGCAGACAGACCGTACTGAGTAAGTATTCACGGGAATGACGGATTTTCTGCTTATTCCGATATGCAAATGTTATTTCGATATATCGTATCTGGGTTGAGACTCGCCGATCCCAGATGCGATAATCGTATCTCGATTGCTCCGGCTTGAATCTAGATACGCTATGCAAATTGCCTTAAATGCAAAATTTACTATATCGTATCTGAATAAAAACATCTCTACTGTAGAGTACTGTAGCTTTAATGAACGTACATAGTAGCATAGCGTACTCTTTACCAAAATTTCAGTCGGCTTAAAAGTTTCAAAGAAATCACTCCCGCTGTTTTTTCAGTATTTACTTGCGTAAGCGATTAAAACAAAAAATAAAATTAAAATACGACAATTAATAACGTTAAAAAACACAAATTTTTGAAATTTTATATAGAAATTTTATAGCGTAACCGATCAACCCATATAAAAACAAAAATGAATCTTTTCGGACTTTTTATTGAAAAGCTATCAAACTCATGTAATTCTGTATATTCTGTACCAATAACATCTAGAAATTACGGTATCTTTATGAATTCAACGATTAGACAAAGAAAAAAAGAAAAATACAGAATTCAGGTGATTTTGCACCTAACAAACTTTTGAAATAGCTAAAACATCCAAAAAAGTATAAAAGCTTGTTACAACTACCGTATTCTACCGTAACCCGTTCCGCACCACTCCCCTTGACGGCCTCCGATAGATTGAAAGTTTCGATGGAAACTGGCCCGTTAGAGGCAACGTTGCCGTGGTTCTGTTCTTCCTATAATGTGCCTTTATTCCCTAAAAAGTGCCCCCCACCTACCGTACCCCTATAATTCGTTCGAATCGCCGTCGTTTAGAGCACTTATTAGCGCTCCTCTGCGTCTTCTTCTTCTTCTTCTTCCACTTCTTCCGCTTCTACGGCCTAAAGGTGATCCCCTCCCTCTAGGGAGCGAGAAGAGTGCTGTCCCCCTTTTCGAGGTTACCCACCCGTTTAAAATTCAAATTTTAAACCCGATTTCACCCGAATTTTCCTTTTTGAAAATACCCGTTGTGCACGTGGATTGAAGTTTTTGAAAAGTCTCCTGGTGATTTTTCTGGAAAACTATGGAAATTCCTGGTGAAAATAACGCATTTCAAAAACGTTTGGAAAATTGTTTCATAGCGTAAAACAGGCTTTTTAAAGGTCTTGCCAACTTAAGAAATTAAAAATTGAATTTTAAAAATGTAGTTTTAAATTGAAGATCCGTTTTCTCCATTTGGAAAAGCAGGGATCTTTTTGAAATATTTTAACGACTTTAAAACAATCTTTCGAAGGTATTAGCAGCCTCAAAATTTGAAAAATTCAAACTTTACAAGGTCTAAAAAAACCGTTTTCGCGAATTCGAAAAATTCTTAATTATTAATTTTTAAATTTTAACTGTATTTAAAATTATGGGATCAAAATTGCAGAGCTAACAATCTTAGATCCACACGAAAAATAGAAAATGACACTTCAATGTTTCCAAAATTTTCCAAAAAACTTCACCAGACGTATTTCATGTCGTAATCGATCGATCCGAACCACCCTCGAAATCCCATTATTTCATTCTTTTTATTTTTTGATGATTTCCAATCCTGCAAAAATTCCTTTTCAATCCCTTCTATATACCTTATTTTATTTCATTAAATGTCATAAAACGCCTTGAAAAATTCCCCCTCCTGGAATTGAGGCCGTGGACCTAGTGAGTGTCGGGCCACGCCTGCATGGTTTTTTGGTAGAGCATAGTCGATTTACCCAGGTGCTTCTTTTAAGTTATACCCCCACTCACTCACCCCCAGTTACCGTAACCCCTCAGTTACCCACGCTTTAATATCCCGTATACTACCGTATATTTTGTAGGGAATGATCTGTATTTATAATTTTTTTTGGTATATAATATTAACTGCATGCTCACTTTTTCTTTATATAGGCTCCTCTCCACACCCATCCCCTACCCTTTTCTCCACTCGTTTTTAATCCGATTTTGGTGATTTTAATGATTATTTTTGCGGTATTTAATCTTACGGTAGTAGTTTAATAGAATTTCTATGAATATAATAGCGTAATAAATTAGAGAAACTTGCTTTAAAGCAAAACTAGGGGCTACAAAAGTAGCACGCAAATTTTCGTGCCAAACCCTCTGATTTTTACCACTTAACCTGCCCGTTGACTAATTTTAAGCCGTTTTCCCCTGTTTTATCGCTAAACTAGGTATGACGATTTTTCATCTAAAATGGAAGTATTTCGCATTAAAAGTCGATAGGTTAACTCTAATTTCTGGCACCTTTGGATAGGCTTTTCCTTTCTGACTTGCTAAAAAAATTAAAAATTAAATTAAAATTAAATTTTAATTAGAATCAACAAGAATGAACCAAAAAACCGTTCTAAAATCACCAAAATCCCTTCCCTTGCCCTCCCCTACAGTACTAACCTCACCACACACCCTGGCCGTTTTCCCCTCCTCACGCTCACCTTACCACGGTTTTTCAGTTTTTTAAACCACCAAAAATAGTTTGAACCTCTACGTTTGAAACTATATGATTTTTGGCGTTAACCCCTGGCTTGGATTGCGTTTGTAGCTCCGGAAAATCATGGCATAACCATTTAATCCGTGGTGTTTTTTTAGAAACTCACACTGGGAGTGCCCTCCACAGCGGACGGGGGATCCGTTGTGAGGAAGATTTCGAAGAATTCGACATCGTCACGTGAGAGACTTGGCTCGCATGACTCGATTTCGAGGTCGAGGCGAGGGAGCAGAATGTCGGCGATACGGGTGAGTACTCGTAACGGTTAACAAAGGGCTTTAAAAGTCTCATAAAGATAGAAAACGACTTTTTTAACGAATTTCCAGAAATTTTTCAGTTTGATTCTGAGTAACTTTGCTAAAATGCGCTCGATTTTGATCATTTAAGTTGTATCGTTAACTACTTCGCGAGCTCTTTTGCATGGTGTACTCAAAATCTTACTGAAAAATTTTTCTAGCTGTTAGCTGTGCTAGCTGTTATGACGATTTACTAGCTTTTCTAGGATTTTCAAAAACGTTGCTAATCTCGTTACTTGAAACTCACAAATTTTGAAGTTTCAAAAAGTATCTCACTAGATATGGCTTCCAAAAAGCTAAAAGATGATAACTAAAACATTAAAATTTTAACGATTCTTCGATGTTGACGCTCTTTTTCAAGGGTTTTTTGCAATTTGAAAAGTCTTTCGTCTTCCATATCGCTCAATTTTTGGGTTTCTAAACTTCAAGACATATTTGATCTTATATAACTTATCCAGAGCTACAAAACGACAGAAAAACGTAGAATTTGACGTCCCCTAAGGTTTTAGCCACCTTATTTCCACATTTTCAAAACTTACCCTTGAATCTTTCAAGTTTAATGTTGAAATTTCCCTTTTTTGGAAACTACGAAATATTTTATAAGATAGGTCACTTCAAATGCTACAATTCTGTGTCTGGAACAAAAGGAGCAATCGCAAGATGTTACCGAATTCGCGAAAACTCGATAGAACTCTCGATACAACTCAAAAATAACCGAAATAACTCGTACATATTGCAGGTAATCGTCTCGAAACTTTCCCTGGGTCTACAAGAAGACGAGGGCGATGAGGATCGAGAATGTTTGATGCCTTCGACGCCCTCTTCAATGTCTTCTGGCGATGTGTTGGCCTCCCCCACCCCATCCATCCCCAAGAGACCCGTTTCTTCACTGGGTCCCACCACGAATCACAAGCTTTTCGATTTATTGATTGTACGCACACATTCATTTTAACGATATTAAGGAATCAGGATCAAAATTGAACTTATTTTAACCATTTTTAAGGCGGAACGTTTCGGAATTGCAAAAAAAAACATCGAAAATTGTCGTAGACATACTAAAAATCTAAAATTTCTGGAATCTAGTGTCGTAAAGTACTGTATTTTTCCAAAACTCGGGCTAGAAGAGCTTCTTTAGTCTTTTTTGCGAGCGTAAACTTTCAGAATTTCGGAAAAACAAGCAGAAATCGAAAATTTCTGGAATCCAATGTCGTCAAGTAATGTAATTTCTGTAAACGCACGCTACAAAATGACCATTTTACTACAATACTATCCTATTTTATGTCATCTACTGAAAATAGAAAAAATGTCAGTGACATAAATTCCACAAAATGTTTCACAGTGCATGTGCACTTTTCACACAGGAAAGGGGTTTCCCCGGACCACCAACGACGTTCACATCGAGCAAACGCATTTTCACTACTTGCAGGAACCGCGTTTGGCCTACATAGGCTCTTTTGCCTCCCCGCGCCTCGAAAGGCACAGTCGCCTCTCTCTCTCGCCCAGCGCCCAGGAACGGCGTTTGGCCACAAAGGGCGTTTTTTGCCTCCCCGTGCCCAAAAAGTGCATTTCCAATCCCTCTCATGCTCTCTCTCGCCCAGCGCACAGGAACGGTGTTTGGCAACAAATGGCGCTTTCTGCCTCCCCGCGCATCCCACTTTCAATAGCCACGCCCTCTCACGCTCTATCCGCCCGGCCAACGCATTCCAACATTCCAACAAACGTTCCAAAATGGCGAGTTTGTGCATTTTTAGGCTTTAGCGAGCTTCAAGCGACACAAGCCCGTGCTCACGACTCCAACCCCACCCCGGAGAGCGGAGCAGAAAACAGAGGAGGAGCAGGGGTATATAAGGGAGCCGTCCCCACGGCAAAACATATTCCTGCATCGTGGATACCGATTTCTTTTTTTTTTGAACCATGTCCACATACGGTGGTTTTATCGAACTTCGGGGGCCAAGGATGGGGTCATTGCTTGCACATTTCCCGGCGACCCGACACTAAAATGCAGACAGGCTTATGACTGCCCTGTTTATAATAGTTTTATCAAAGACAATACCGATAAAAACTTTTGGGATAGAGCACCTCTTTTGACAACAATCGTAGTAAGCTCTTTGCTGTACCACAGCAAAAATATAACCTCATGGAGATTCGATCCGCACAGACGCCGTCTTTCCAAACTTCATGCTGAAGAAAACGACTTTACAATGTATCTAATGTTTAACGATTGCCCTGCTTTGACAGTTTCTATTGATAATTGCAGTTACGCCACCTTTGAGGAACTAGGTCTTGAGCAAATTAATTCAATGTTTAAAATTTTGCGAGAGAAACTCGAAACAGAAAAACTCGAAAAACCGTTTTGTGATCTAGAAATGTCTTTTTGTATCACATTTGGCACGCCCGTTATAGATAGCTCCGAATATTATCCCTTGCTACTACGATTAAAACCAAAATAAAATGTCAGGTTCGAGATGGAAAAGGGCGAAATACCACCGAAAGGGCTAAGCTCTGAGCTATGCCAGCGATTTTATGCTCGAAGAACTCATTTGGGACGTCATACCCACCTTTTTCAAGTCGATCCCAAAACCATTACGACGCTAAATCTAGGTTTAACAATACTGAAAACTTTTCAAAGGACCGAAAATACCCTCCGCTGGAGAGACCAGCTTTTAAAAACAACTCTATGCCATTTGATCGCGAGAGCGGTAAACCATATTATCTCTAGAAATCCGTATTTTAAAAACATGCAAGCCAAGGCAACCCTTTGAAATCCAATATTACGAGTCAGAACGGCTGCATGCTAAAAAATTGGCTAGCGAAAAGACGAGGTACGACATAGAAGATGCCCGCGCAGCTGTTCTAAAAAGATCTGTGTAAATCCCTTTACAAACGCGATAGAAGGAATAAAATGGCTCGAATTTGAGATTTGCATAAGTATTGGAGCGCAGTTTGAACGCATACAAATAGAGCGCTGTCATGTCACTACCCAATGCGATATTGTGCATAAACTAGAAACGGAGGAAACTCAAAGCTTTGAAGTCATCGCCCAGCTAGCGAAAAAACCCCTCCTTAATTTCCAAATGGTTAGCGATTTTGAAATCGCAAAACTGACTCTTCTATGCCCTTACCACAAATGCAACCATGCGAATAAATATTTAGAGAGATGCCCTGCCCGAAAGGGGTAGACGCCTGGAGGCCCGCGCTAGCATAAAAGAGGTTGCCCTCAAAATTGACGCAAAGGAGTCGGCTGGATATGAAACTCCTTGGCTCGAAGGCTATAGAATTGATGATATCCAACTAATCATTGACGATCAGATAGACAAGACACTTGATATGAGCGACGAGCAGATGGAAGATGCCTTTTTACTAAAAGGCTCTCAAGTTGTCGATAGATTGGTTAAAAAAATGGTCAAGTATGCAGAAAAGATAAAGGGTTATGTAAGTAGAGAAGGTTTTGATATTATTATATCGTTAAACAAAGGGTCTGAATATGTTTTTACCCTTAGACCTTGCTTTAAAGATAGGGATTATGGAACAATAATTTTCGACTACGTTCTCAAACAAATAAGACCGGAAGATCTCAAAATGCTTCGTCCTCTACATACGACTCCCATGGACTTGTATATTCACTTCAATGTTCGCTCCAATCCTCTGCCTAAAGACCTCGTACGACTTCTTAAATAAAGCTTTTTGCAGAAATGCTCCGTCAATGGGAAAACGAAGAGTCGATCGACCAGCTCTGCGGGGAGTTTAGAAACTGGGTTCCCGTGACGAGAGCCCCAGGATGCCTCCCTCCCGTCATCCGCACTTTTTGCGAAAAGGCGCATGGGGAGTATCGCGCTAAAGGCACCCTGAATTTTGAAGGGGTGCTAGGGGCGATCACAGCGGCCAATGATCGCACAAATTTCTGGCATAACCGAGAGGTCATCGTCCAAAATGCCACTCTGGCTTTGCTAAGCGAAATTGAAAAGCTTAAAAACAAGCCCGTCACATTTTTTGACGTGACCGTCAACCACGTATTGCTCACCAAAAAACGGACTCAAAGCGATTCATGTGCAATCTTGTACTCGCAAAAACCCCAAAACCCACATTTTAATGGGAAAACTCAAGTCGACAATGCTCAATCACAACTTGCAATCGCCCAAAGATTTCGACATGCTTCACAAAAATCAAACTATTATCTACGTAAATGCATACCTTTAATTCACGTACATTTTCCTCCTCTCTTTTATTGATTTCTATTCGGGCGTAGATTACTTTTTTCAACTTCCTCTCTTTTATTGATTTTTATTCGGGCATAGATTACTTTTTTCAACTTTTTCACTCTGGCATTTCCATTTCTCTAATGTGCTTATTCAGAAGTTTGTAATGAAATAAAAAACTTTTCAGATATGGATAAGGAAGATCTCCCGATCTCTCTTCGACTATTGTACCATCGGAGCGAACGAGAAGACTTACGAGTTTGCTTTCAAGAACGTGAAACTATGCTCGGAAGGGCTTGAAGAAAAATTCTCCCCATATCAAGCGTGTATTAGCTTTACATGCGAAAGGGTTGGCCCACGAGGTTGACCAGCTAAAATTATAGGATAGTAGTAAATTCCCCAAAAACCAATCTTGTAAAAGTTTCGGTAAAGCCTCCAACGACCCATCCTACGATTTCCCTTAATTTGCAGCAGCTTTAGCCTTATTTCTTTTCTTCGTCGTTTCCAATCTAAATTTCTAAAATATCCTTTCAAGTTGTTTGTTGAATTAAAGAGCGAGTTACAATAAACAATTACAGATAGAGAATGGAAGACCAAACGTCTTCGAGGAAGAGGAAGCTGGTGGAGTACACACCGAGTCCCACTCCATCGCCAA